CCTTTTTAAACAGACGAATGGGCGACTTCCTGTGGCTCCAATCGCCAGCCAAAAGGGCACCCTGACCGGTTTATTTTGTATGGAGAACTGCTGCTCCGGGGCGCCAACAAAGCAGCTGTGTGGGGCAAAGCAGCGGGGCCGGCCGGCACAGCCGCTCTGGCCGAAACAGCCGCGCTGGCGACCATGGAGCTCCTCTGCCTGGGAATTTCCTAGTCTGTGGGCAATAAAAATGCGGCGTCCACTCACCCTCTGCGCTTTCACTGGGAGCTGCAATCCTGAGCTGTTCCTCAACGGCCATCTTGGATCCTCCCTCTCTGCTTTTTCTTAACATTATTATTATTATCGATTTTTTTAGGAAAGACCATGTGTTCTGATGCTTTAACATTTTTTATTCTTCTGTTGGTGCCTTTCTATTAGATTCTACAAATTGTTATTTCTATAGGATATCCATTTTAAAAAACAAAGTGAGGTGTCTAGATCAGTATGTATATTAGGTTATCTATTGCTGCATAACAACATACCCTAAAAATTAGCAGCTTAAAATAACAAACACTTGTATCATAATTGTGGTGGATTAAGACATCAGGCACAATATACTTGGGTGCTTCTGACTCAGAACTCTGAGGAGGTTATAGTCAGGATGGTGGCTGTGGCTGATGCTCATCTGAAGGCTTGACAGGGAGTGGATTCACTTTCAAGCTCAGTCATGTGGTTGCTGGCACAATTTAATTCTTTGTGGGATATGGGACTGAGAGCCTGAATTCCTTACTGTTTGTTGGTTTGGGGCCTCCCTAGGTTCCTTGCCACACAGGCTTCCAAAGGGAAGTGTTGCCTTCAGAACAGGCAAATGTGAGAGCAAGACAGAGTACTTAAGATGGAAGCCATAGTCTTTTTGTAACTCCAGAATAATCACTTTATCCATGCTCTGTTTGTTAGAGGCAAGTCACTTGGTCCAGCCCATATTCAAGGGAGCAATTACATAAATAGCAGGGGCCCATGTTATTGGGGACTATTTTAGGAGCTGCTTACCATTGTATGTGTTTTAGAAGCAGACCATGATGCATACTTACAGGCAGCAAAAGTAGAGTTCTCATGGAACATGGAAGGCATGGAATATGCAAGGCAGTAGAAATACAAGTTTGAGATAGTATCTTAGACTACAAGAGTAGAACAGTAGCAGGGCTTTGTAAAAATATAGATAGTGAGAAATAAATAGTTTCAGATGAAGATTAAAGAAGTTTCTTATCAATATTAATTTTGGTCTATGTACTTCCTGTTCATTGAAACTACCTAGCTTTTTGAAAGTAATTAAAACAAACCACATCCAAAACTAAGAATAGCTATGCAATTTATGTTCAGGAATTTATCATAACATTATTTTTAAAAACTTATCTGCATACATTTTTTTCTTTTTTTCTCAAGTTTATTTTTTATTTTCCATGTACTTCTTCATTTCTCTTGGCAGTATAGTGTTTTCCCCCTTGTGTATATAAGTGTCTTGCTTTTAATTGCTGAGATTTTATCATAAACTATCTTGCCAAATTTCTTTTTAAGTATTGTCACTATGTTTAATGAATACTAAGGTATGGCAGAGTTAAGGATAGTCAAAAAGGGATAGTGAAGTGTTCCTGGGCTAGCAACAGTGAGAAGCTATCACTACCCACGCATGTAAGGGCAAGAGGAAGGAGTCATGTCTCTGGAAACTAGCAGGAGCTGAACATATGAGGGACGGAATGCCCAGCTGGAGCAGGAATGCAGCCACTGCTTGTGTTCTGGCAGGGAAGAATCCAAGGAGATGAGTGGCCCAACTTTGCTTTCCTCCTAAAATCCTCTTACCTCTTGCTCCCCCTTGGCTGAACCTATGAGAATGCAGAAGGTAAGGGAGCCCAGTTAATGCAGGCCATGCAGATCAGCCTCTTGGGGCAGAGTGCAGCAGAGAAGAGATGGGGAGAGAATGATGCTGACCGGGCAAAAGGAGAATATTCGGCAAAGAAAGAAGTCTTTTTAATTCTTTGTATTTTCTGTGTTTGGATATTAGCCTGTTTGAATGTATCCACTGTGTAACTTTAAAAGTTTTGAGTTTTTGTTAGTCTTTCTACTGGAATGACTCCATAGTGGTTACAATCAAGTCTTTAAGAAACTTGGCTGTTGATTTTCTTTTTTAAGTAATAGACTACGTTTATATTGTGTTTTATTTATGGTCACAGGCATGGTGTAAGAGTTGTTTTTCCTGTGGAAGTTAAAATGGCCTACAAAGAAGGACTATGCATTCTTGTTACATTTGGAACTATAAAAAATAAATACAGTTTTGTTCACACAAACAAATAATTTTTGTTGGATATTTCTTTATCAGTTTCCTGGAGCCTTGTTTTTTTTGTTTTTTTTTTTTTTTTTCCCCGAGACGGAGTTTCTCTCTCGTTACCCAGGCTGGAGTGCAATGGCGCGATCTCGACTCACCGCAGCCTCCGCCTCCTGGGTTCAGGCAATTCTCCTGCCTCAGCCTCCTGAGTAGCTGGGATTACAGGCACGCGCCACCATGCCCAGCTGATTTTTTGTATTTTTAGTAGAGACGGGGTTTCACCATGTTGACCAGGATGGTCTCGATCTCTTGACCTTGTGATTCACCCGCCTCGGCCTCCCAAAGTGCTGGGATTACAGGCATGAGCCACCGCACCCGGCCCCTGGAGCCTTGTTTTATAAATACTCATAAACTTGGAGAAAAAGGTCTGCTTGGGAGAAACTGAGACTATATGTAGTCTACTTGTTACCACTTTCTTTTTTTTTTTTAAAGTATATCTTACATTTAGAAACAAATATTGTAACATAGAAGCAAAAATGACTGATGAAATTTTTTTCAGCAAATAATTACAAATATTTATGGAATCCTGTGCACTTAATGTGAACACACAGAGATAAACAGTGTAGGCATATGATGATTACCAAGACAGAGTCCTTGCTCTAAAACAGTTTACCGCCAAGTAGGGTATTTAAGTGCATAAACAACTGTAATGATGAGTAGTGTCCCATAAATACTCTCTTACAGTGACAGGCAATAGTATAGGAGTACAGAGAGTGATTTCTGAGAAGCTAGTGTTTGAGCTAAACCTTGAGTGGTGAATACAATTATGGTAGAGGAGAGGGGAATTCATTTTGGGCTCTGGGAATGGCATGAATAAGGCACAACTGAATAAAAATACAAATATCAAGGTGGGGGTGATAATTGTTCAAGACTAAACCTTGGTGAACAACATATACAAACAATGGCAAGAGTGAAGGGTGTTCAGAAATATGGTAGAAAATTAGGCTGCCAAGAGAGAACAGGCTAGATTGTCAAGGTCTTGAGTGCTTTGCCAATAATTTTATATTTTCTACGTAGACTTTAAAAACTTTTTTGTAAAGGGGATATAAATAATGGTATAAAGTAAGGTATCAGCCCAAGATGTAAGAGAATGGGTCGGGGAGACTTTTGGTGATAGTGTAGGAGGAATGAGGAGCAATTTGCATGAGGAGGAAGAGGATTTGCTTGAAGGCCATGGCATGGGAAGGAAATGGAGAATATAGGTATAAGACATCATAAGTGCTGATAATAGACATGGGGGTTTCTTGATTTCTGTTTGGAGTAATTGGTAGAAGGTGAAGCTGTTACCTAAGAGATAATAGAAAAGAAAGAGCTGGCTCTGGAAGGAAGTTAAGCTCAACTTTAGACGTATTAAGTTTGAGGTATTAGCATTGGTCTAACTAATGTATATGTCCATTTAGATCCATTGGAAATTTGTCTGAAGCTTAGGAGTTGCCTGGGTTCAGAGTAGAAATCTGGGAACATCAGCCTGAAGATAATTTTTAAAGCTGGTGAAAATAAGTGAGCCCTCTCTCAAGGAGGGAGTTCAGCATGAAAAAAGGGCCAAACAGAGAACTGCCTAAGGACAGGTTGGACAAAAGTCCATTTAAAAAGACTGAGAAGAAGAGATCGAAGGACTGAGAGGGAAAGCAGGGAACTGCAGTTGTCATAGAAGCCAAATTTTTAGAAGATTTTTAAAACAATGCGACATTAAGAACTATGTTTGTAGCACTTGTAAATTAGTCCTTTCTTTTTCCCCCAGGAGCCTTAAATTCTGCCCATGTGGGTGGGTTGAGGGAGTCTTCAGAGTTTGTAGAAGTAGCTCTGGGTTTCTGAAAAATGTGAAGGTGATGTACTGACCCATTTAATACCCCTTAATCCTGGGAGGAAGGAAGGGGCTGTGCCTGATGTATTTATTTCTTGTCATGATAGGTCTTGTCATGAATATTAAACCAGTTACTCTTTGAAGTCACAAGTGAAAGAAGGGCCTGGCTGTTCTGTTAAAACACTGAGCATGTAGGAAGAACAATAATGCTTACTATGATGACCTTTCAATCTGGAAATATATTCAGAGCTTGAAACTAACTTACTTACTTTCTTTTTTTTTTTGAGACAGGGTGTCACTCCTTACCCAGGCTGGAGTACGGTGGTGCAATCTCAGCTCACTGCAACTTCTGCCTCCCAAGTTCAAGTGATCCTCATGCCTCAGCCTCCACAGTATGTGGATTAAGGCACGTGCCACCACAACTGGCTAACTTTTGTATTTTTAATAGAGGGGGTTTTTCCATGTTGGCCAGCCTCAAGCGAACTTCTGGCCTCAAGTGATCAGCCCACCTTAACCACCCAAAGTGTTGGGATTACAGGTGTGAACTACCGTGCCCAGCCAGAGCCTGAAACTTTCAAGCTTTCAGTTTAATTCCATAGCCTTTTTTCTTCCATTTTAAACCCAGTTATTTCCTAAATCTAATTTATTTATTTTTGTGTATATGTCTTTAAAATGTTTCCTAACAATTACATTTGGTAAATAAGTTCTTATTGTTTCTTTTAGTTCTTGTGCTTTTGTTTATTGAGAGAAATTGAAATAAGTATTTTAAAATGTTGCACTTTGTTTGCAGGCTGTCACAGGTAATCAAGATGATATGAACCATGGTAAGCAATTTGTTTTGGAACTCTAAGATATTTCTTGAACTCAGGGATTCAGGAACTGAAATTTGAATTTACTTTACTGTATAAATTACTTTAACATTATAGTACTTTTATACCTCATTTGAAGATTAAAGAGCTAGACCAAACAAGATAAGTTAACATCCAGTTATCTGTAATGAGGAAAGAGTTAGTTTTCATGTGTGATGCTTTGGGTATCAGTGATATGCATAACTTTATAAATAACTAGGATTTTCATTGGTATTTTCCTCCCATAGCTGTACTATTTTGATATTAATAGTCTCATCTTTTTCATCTCTTAGGTTTGGTTATAAGTAAGAAATCTGAATAAAGGTTAATGTTGTTAAGTGTGTGTAGGGGTTCAGTCAGGGTGGTGGGAGAAATTATAAGAGAAAAATTATAGAGAAAAGGATGCAAACCATCTTGGAAGGCGGGGAGGTTTTTGCAAAAGCCTCTGGAAGGAATGAATTGAAGGTGGCAGTTCTTACCTAGAGGCAATTATGCAGTAGTAGGTACAAAGGAATGTGAGGGAGTTTATCTAAAGAGCTTGTTTACTCATGAGGTCCTAAGAATGACGTTTGAACATCCATGGGTGCATGACTGCTCTCTATTGGGGGGGGGTGGGGAGTGGGTGGTCAATAGTGTTATTACCCACAAAGGGTATTTGCTTTAGGCTTCAGAACCTGGTCTTTAATCATTCGTAGGACTGCTCTCTCTGGGGAAGGCAACCATGTTAATTATCTACAAGTGTGTTGACTCAAAGACTCTGTCATTAAATCTATATGGAATAAATGCCCGCAGCACCAGTTGGTGAGGGCTGTGGCT